CCCCAAAACCCCAAAACCCCTCGAGACTTTAAATTGAAAATAATTTTAATTTATGAAATTAAGATTAAAGTTTCTTAAAACTGTTTTGAAAATATAAATTTTAAATAGTTCTCATTTTAATATTGTCTACAAAAGATTTCCTGATTGAATATATATCAAAGTGGTCTCAAATATTGAACTTTTGTTTACGCAGCATCTATTTATCCTTTTTCTACTTCAAATTATATATCTATATCTCGATTAATTTGGCTCATTTATTTCTTTTAAGCTTTTATGTTGTTCTTCTTAATTTTTTTACTTTCTTTATATTACTTAACTTTCCTGACAAATGATTTTAGAGTTCCTTCTATTTGGCCAGATTAGACTGGAGAAAAAAAGAAATTATTTAGCTTTCTGTCATCTTCTTAGTTTGATTACTGATTTCTTAATTTTATATTTTTTAAGTTCTTATGATTCTAGAAGTCTTTAATAAAAGTCTTATGATTTTTATCCTTTATTTTCCATTCTTCTTTATTCTCAAATTGATTTGAAATAAGATTCTGATTGTAATCAGCAAAGGTAGTGATGGGATTTAAATCTTCTGCAAATGTATTATCCTGCCTGGTTTTTGTCATATCCATAGAAGAATATACTTAAGTTATCTGAGTCGCTCTATTAGAACTTACGAGATTTGAAATATCATGAGCATTATTTTATGTAAATTTGGTATTATTTGGCTCAATTATCTTATAAGCTACTTCAATTTTCTCTTTTTAAGTATCTTTAATTTTTCTTACTCTTGTTACTTTTGGTATTAAATTTTTAGAAGATTTTATTACTTATGTTCTTCTATTGATATTATTGTTATTACTGTTATTTTCAATGATTTTTACTTATTAATTCATCTATTCTTAATTTTTATCGCTTTTAAAGAAAGTCATTTCCTTAGTTTGTGAGTTATTTGCAAAGCTTCCTTTTTTCCCAAAATTTTTGTTTCTATTAGTTAAAACTGAAGATTAATTAGATTAGTTAACTATATTAGTCTTACTCTTTGAACTTCTTTCCTCATTATATTGATCTAGATTAACAACTGAAATATTCATATTAGTAATTGGATATTTTTTTTCAAGTCTTTTTCTCACTAATTTTTCAATAATAATGCTTCTCTATAATTAGTATTTTGATTCTAAAGTTAGAATTTTCTAAGACAATACAAAAGTACTTAGAAATGAGGAGGCTTTTTAAGCATATTAATTTTTCATTGTTGATACAAGACAATAAAAACAAAGGATAATAAACCAAAAGTTTACCAGTAAAATAGCAATAAATACTACAAGTTATATAATGTCTGATATCTCGCTGCTAACAAAGAATAAAGCACCGAAAAATGTCACTATTGATGTTAGAATCTCTCTTTCCTCCAAGATGTTAAACACTGGATTTTTATAGGGCTAAAGCTATCCTTATAACCTCAAGAATCCTGTTAGAACTATCAAACTTAATAATGCTTTGAATATGTTTGAGTAAAGATTTAGAAATACATTGACGCAAACTAGAAACGTCTTTCTCAGAATGTTAAGAAATTCCCAGTAAAAATATTTAGACTTTAATCCTTAATACATCATTCTGTATCTACCAAAAAATGTTAGTTTATGCAGACTGTTCTAATTTCTGTATAGATATACGAATCCAACTATAGGAACACCTAAGGTCCATACTATAACTGAAGAAAATCCTATTCCAAGACTCCAACTCACATGCTCTTTTGTCCAGCATCGAACCTAAAGATCTTATTGAAGCCAATACTCTCCCTTATCTAACTCCATACAAAAAAATAAACTAGTAGACATTCTTGTTATAGTAGGATGCAATGAATAAATAATGACAATTGTAGCTACAGTCACTTATCTCTTAAAATTTGCAAAGCTTTAGTGTTTAAATAATTTGGTAATAAAAAAGAAAATCCAGAAAATGAAATTCATGATTATGGGCAATATCACTATTACTAAGGTTTTGAAGTAAAATGTAGATGAATCTGGCTTTGTAAATCCTGTATCTTGCAAGAAGCAATCAAAAGAAATTATGTTTTCAGCAATTTATCCAACTTCAGAATATATACCAAAAAATGCTTGTAAATAATAGGGCCAGTTCAAGTTAAATGCAGCCGCAGAAGTCAAGACCTGTATATAATTAAGTAATATTCTGATCACAATACTAGTCTCACTCTCTTTCTAAGTTCTTAAATTGATCCAAAGTAAGAATGCAAGTGCTATAACTAACAGTAAAAAGATTCCAGAAATGTAAATTAAATTGTTAATTTTAGAGGGGCAAAGACCGCATTCATATTTATTTATCTTCATGAATTAAATGCCATCAACATTTGAACAGTGATTACATAAATTTCCCTCGTAACCATACTTGCAAATCTAGGCATTATTTGAAGTTGAATCTAGTTAATTGCCTACACAAGCTTTATCATAAATACAAGGTAAAATATTTGTGGAAATATTTGATGACCTCCAGAATCCTGGTAAGACATTTATAATATCTCCTCCAGGACACTCAGCATTATCAAGGCATTCATTGCACTGAGAACTAGAACCGTTTAATGAGAAATATCCAATTCCACATTTTATGCATCTAAAAAATTATTCGATATTTATCTTACTATTCATTAAAGTTAATTTCTCCGCTTTGGCATTCTCTGAAATCAAAGTAAATATATTCAAGATTTATTGATTTAGTTTGATCGTTTGAAGCATTTAAGAAAATTTTCTTTATATAATTGGTATCAATACTTGAGGATTGTATCTTAAATGATACATTCTTGCTTCCTGGGATTGAGTAGAATTAAAGCATTCCAGTCTAAAAGATGCCGATCCCATTTTCTACTTAAATCTGATATTCTCCAGATATTTTGGCTTTTTAATCAGTTGCACTAATGTATATTGTACTAAATTATGAGAGTTAAATGCAAAATTGCTTACGAGCTATTATCATTGGTGATTATTTGACCATCAGCATCAATAATTCCAATCTAGATTATTCCTTAATAGATTTAGCCACTTGCTATATCAATTTTATCATAACTTTAAATTATAACACTATAAGGATAACCTGCCATTTATGAACCATATGGTGCATAATTATCTCCAGTGAAAACATTCTTTTTATATATTTAAGGTCTATGCTTGTTGTAGTATATTCCTCCTCCCTTAGTAGCAGCATAATTAGAATCAAAATAGTTAGAATCTATATCATATTTACACGTTAAAGCTATAGGATTATCATTAAGAATTAAAATTACATGGAGAGCATATTAAGGCCATAGCTCCACCTTCTTTTGCGTAATTCTCAATAAAATTCGATAATCTGACGTTCAAATTAGTATTTTTAATTAATAGTGCACCACCCTATTCCTTTGACATTCCTCTAATAAAAGTAGAGTTTTTAATCCTCAATGTGCTTTCAATAATGTTAATAATTTTGTTATCTTGTAGTCTAAACCTTATCATGTTTTAATAATTAGTATCTAAGTCATATGTTCTATTATTCGCAATTAGCGATGATCCAGTTATGTTAATTTAGCTCAGCTGAATTTAGAAAAGAGTCTTATTGAAATTAATGAAAGTTGAATTGTTTATCTGGATCTTTTTACATCTGAATAAGTAAATAAGTGTGGGTGCTACACTTTGCATTGTGTTAAAATTTGAATCATTGAGAATCAGACTTGATGAATCGATTCTCATTATTCTATCATTTGTAAAAAAATAACTGGCATTTATAATGCTTAAATTTCTGATTACTATGTCGGTATTTACAGAGGAAAGTAGCTAAATTCTAGATGCAACCAATTGAGTGTCGAATATTTAAATCTAACTGTTTAAATACGACTCCAAAATGTACTGTTTGTGTCCTATTCTAGTATTTAAGTAGGAAATGTTGAAGAATGATGTATTTTGTAAGAGTACCTATGATTATGTTACAGTGATGAAGGATCCATCTTAATCATTTATAGTTAAATTTGCTATCGAAGTATTGTAAATACTAACTTCAGATACATATGAAATGATATAGTTTCTGGCTCTTTATATAAATGAATTTGAAATTTTAAGAGATCCTTTGCTGATAGTCATTGAGTATTAAATTTTATCCTTAACCAAAAGCTTTCGATCACTCAATTAAATCTAAGATAATATTTTTTAGTCAGTCACATTTTATAACCAATTATTTATCAAGAAACTGGCCAGCATTTCAATTTCATACGCTCCGTTATTGTGGAATTAGCAATTATCAAATTCTGACTAGATATCAATAGAATCTAGGATTGAGATTATTGAATTTTTAAGGGCATGATTATCTTAAATAAGACTGTCTTAAATATAGAAGTAACCAGAATTTTCTATTATCCCAAGGCTGCATTAAACTGCATGATTGCTTTGAATAGTAGAGTTTTTAATGATAATGTAGCTATTGTAATGAACAAAAAATACTGCTCCATCTGCTGCAAAATTTCTAATGAATGAACTATCTTGCACATAAACTCCCACATATTGATAATCTGCTAAGATAATTGTTCCTCTTGACATTGATAAATTATCCTAGAAGATGGAGGAATATATTTAAATATTTGTATTTTGTTTCAAAATTAAAATGGACACTATCATCTAATAGTTCTTTGAAAATGTGCAATTCTTTACTATAACTGATAAAGGCAAATTTGTCATCATGATATCTCCAGCTTTAAAATGAAATTGCGCTTGATAGTTAAATGTGACTATTGTGTTCTAGATAATTAAAGGAAGTCTTTAGTTTTAGTGGGCAAGCAATAAATTTCCACCAGCTCCAAAAGAGTTGTTGGAAAAGTAAGAGTTATTTATTACAATCTAAGCATTGCTTTCATCTACGAATTAATCTATCATAATTAGATTAGCTTCTTTTTCATACATGTTCTAATTGAAGAATATTCTATTAAGTCTGATTTAGAAATAAATGTTTTTGTTAGGAAGTGAAGAATTCTTAAATCCTCCAAAAAAGAAAAAGTTAACTTCATTATTACTGACTGTTACGTTGTCAAATGTAGAATTTTCACCTGAGCTTGTCAAAGTATATTCGTCATATCTGACTATGTATGCTCCAAATTTTGACTAATCAGCATATTTAAATCCATTAAAAGTAGTATTGATTATTGAAAGGCTTTGACTTCTTAAATTTGTTATATAATTAGTAGAAGTGCTAAGATCTAAAGAATATCAATATCGTATATCAAATTACATTCACTCTCAAATACAGAATTCATGATTAGAAATTTTCGAATATTTTGGTCTTATTGAAACACTACAAAAATGATATAATTAAACGATTATACTTTAGTTTGAATTGATGTTGTTATTCTTGAAATATAGATTGTTAAATGATAACACAGCATTGCTAGGATAAGATATACCCTTAATGAAACAAAATCCATTTTTCTGTTCATCCACTGAAAGTAATTTTAAATTAGAAATACAATCCTTACATGTATTATTTATCAATACTAGTCTATCTATATTTGTATATGTAAACAATCCTGTTGCTAATACTATTCTGGACTAAGTATCGCAGTTAAAAAACTTTACATCTATCAAATTCAATGTTGTTGATCCTGTGATTTAGATATGAGAGGCTTAAATTGGACCAAGTGATACATTGTTATTAGTTATATTACGAATATTTAATTCTGTTGTTCCATGCTATAATATCAGCAAAGATACATCTGAATATAGATTTTCAAAAGTAACATTCTCAAAAATACACTACTAAATTCGTTTGTTGAGGTCAGATCTTTAATTGCACAAAATTTGGTACTATATTTATGTTTTACCTTTTCCATTAATAGCATCAGATGTTATGTAACTATTGGTGACCTATGTTTTCTTTATTTTGTTATCAGTACTAAATGGGCATAAATTAGTAGATTCAATGAAAAGCTACTACTTGCTAGCATCATTGGTAGTAGAGAATGATCTGAATTCAGAATTATCAATAGTGACATTATAAAGAGTCTATATATAGATCTATGGTTGCTAGATAACTAGATATCTTTAGCCAATTACTCTTAATCCAGATATTAGTATCTCTCCTTCATAAGAATTACTTGTTCTTTAGCTACAATCTGACAACAGTATGATTCCCTCTGTCATATAATCTGTGATTATAGTTGAATTCAAGATCCTCATGTTAAGTGGATTTGCAGAGCGCATAATTTTACCATAAAGATTGAATACAATTTTCTAAATAAATTTAAATATGGTGGAATAACAAACCTCGAATTATATCGTTCGATTTTAAATGTCGTATAGGAATAGAAATCTATTCTCCTCATTGCTCTCAGTAATTTGATCTAGTCACAAATTTAGAAAAAGAAAAAATTATGATTATTACTCTCGATGAGAAGGTTAGCAAAGAAAACTGAGCTTCTAATGATAACTAATTCAGATTTTAATGAAATCAAATTCAATTCGGCTGGTGTAATCAAACCTTGCTAAATCTTTGCATTAATGTTATAAGTTGGGTCAGTAATAAGTGAAAATCTAAAGTAAGGTTTATTGGTCATTGCTTTGTTTATTTATATATATATGGCCGATTAGCTGCCTAATTAATTTGGATCCACTACTGCATAAGATCTAAAATTTAAATATTTAAAAATGGAATTATACCTTATAGTAAGATTAAAAGCATTGAGTATTATCTACTAATTTCAAAGTGTTCTTAATTTAGCTTATTCACCCTCTTTTATCAATATTTCATATGATTTCTTATCAGCTTGGAGATAGTTGAATAATTCAACCAATGCTGAGATCATAGATTTAAATGGATAAGATCGGGTTCCAAGTTCTAAATATTTATTGGAGGATGGATCAACAAACATTCTTGAAGCTACAAATTAAAGGTTTTAAGAAATATACATCTGCAATATGTGAATTATCTCTTTAAGTAAGGATGATAAGGGATAGTTGCTTTCTCATCTGCTTCTTAACATTTATCAATACATTGCAGAAGGTTTAAGTCAAATACCTAATTAATATCACACTATAAGCAAATATTTCCTTCAATACATTATGAGCCTTAGATAGGACATGAGCATTCTAAGTTTTTAATATATTAACAATTAGATAACTAATTACCTTCACACTCGTTTAACTCATTTAGTTAGAAATTGTCTGGACAGAACTAGCAACTCCCAGATTTTAGTAATTATAATTGGGGATTTTTGCAATTTACACAAGTTATCAAATCGAGGCATTCATCGCAGGTATCACCGCAATCTAATTAAAAATGTTATTGATATAAAATACCTTCGCAGGTGTTAGTAGCAGTATTTAAAAATTGTGCGGTATTGCAAGCCAGAGATGCTTAAGATGGCATGAGTAAAAACAACATGACAGCTGAAAAGGCCAAAGCAATTATCATTTAGGATATTCAAAATAATAATAAGATTAACTTTCTAAATTTTTAGAATATATTGAATATTTAATTCCTATCCTTAAATTGAAATTAATTTACTCATTAGCTTGAAATTTCAATTGAGTCTTGTGGGGTTTTGGGGTTTTGGGG